TGTGAAATTTGACTGGTATTGACTGCGAAAGCTAGACTGGTCCCCTCGCCCTCTGCTAACAACCTTCAAGTCACGTGACTTTCAGACTTAGACATCTTCTTCGCCTCCACGCTCCTCCAACTTCGACCATTACAACAAGCCAAGTTAACCGCCTTCCTCCAGCCGCCTCCATCTCTATTAGTCTCCTCCATTTCTCACGCTATATTCGATCCACGCCCGTCTTCCGTCAAAGTCTCCTCTGCCGTTCGGACGTCTACGCCATGACAGATAACGTCTTCCGCCCTGCCGCGCAGTCTCAATATAGGAAGAGCCCTACCGCCATTAGCCATACTCTTAACATATTCGCCCTTCCCAACTTACTAACTACTTAGGCCGCCTTAGCTATCTTGAGGAAGCTTATGAGATATTTATAAGCGTTAGGATTATTATTAATAGCCTTAACTATATCTATATCGATCTCAAGGCTATATAACCGCTATAGATCGTCTTTATTAGTCACAGCTTTAAGTAGGTATAGCTAGGTGAATTTAAGAAGGGTTATCTTATTGGCATAGGCAAGCAGGCCATAGCTGGAGCCCTTAATATCCTTAACTTTGGTCTCGTAGATCAGGTCGTCCAGCTCAGCTTTGCTCAGCTTACGCGCGTATTCAAAGAGGGGGAAGGACATCATGTAAGGTCGCCACGTATATAGGAGGAGGATGTGAGGAACAAGCTCAAGGCCTCGTTCGAACAGTCGAGTTCTTATGCCATAGCCACGAGAACCCTTTTGGCCACGCGAAGAGTCACACCATTAAGTTTGCGCCCTCAAGTATAGGTTCAAGCCATCGCCAGGCTCCAGCCACTTAAGCTGCGAATGCTGTCAGCGTTCCGCGTTGCAGACGACGCCTTCGCGACGTCGCGAACGACGCTCTCGCGAACGACAGCGTCGCGAACGACGCTCTCGCCAGTACGTTTTGCCGCCCCGCCGCCTGCCCGCCTGCCCTCTTCTGCCGGGGATAAGTTAAGCCGAGAGTCAACGACCAGTTATACCGAGATTTATTTGTTTGCTTTATCGAGATCGGGCACAGGTCAAAGTACTGCTATTAGGTTTAAAGTACAGGGAAAAAAATGTATAGAGTGAACTACAATACCTACTTATACAGGTTGACCAGACTGCTAACATATTCTTAAGTTTTAAAGTTTTATTTTATAAATAGAAAATATTAATATAGTTTTAAAACTAATATAAATAAGTATTTAATATATTATATATTTACTTTTTAAGTATTATAAGTTTAATATATAAACTTATTATATTATATATAAACTAAACTTAAGAATATAT